TCATCTCCATCTTCGAGGTAATCGTTGTTGTTGTTGTTGTCGTCGTTGTTGTTGTTGTTTTTGTTGTTGTTGTCATTGTCGTTGTTGTTGTTGTTGTTGTTGTTGTTGTGATTAAGGGCGATATGGGTGAGATTGTCATTGTCTTTGCTGTCGACGCCGATGTTGGGGTTGATTTTGTTCACGTCTTCCATGATTTCGTCCAGCGTAGCGCAAACACCTTGCCCCTCCTCAAGCTCCTCGTAGTAGCGCAGCATCAAGTCATCCAATCGTGGGCAGTCTGTGATCACATCCAGGTGGGGGGCCAGCCCCTCCTCCAACCCCCATGTGACCTTCAGTAAACATATCCACACACTCTGGATCCACGCGATCGACGGCTGTATCCTTTCAGCAGCAGCCGATCGCAGCGTCGCCACCACCTGGCTTACTCGCCTGGCTTACTCGCGCACTGCTCGCTTGAACGGTAGTAAGCCACGCATCAGCTCCTAGTTCCCCTGAACGCGCCATCGCCAACCACCACTCGGTTCTCACCCCTACGTGTGTTTCACCCCAGGTCACACACCTCTACACACACCTAGTAACAACCCTCCTTACTGACCTCGCCCTCCCAAGAGGTCCACTGATAACACGCCACATGGCGCGCAACCGGTCAGCTCAGAGGCCACATCAGATGACGGGGGAACCGCACTGACGTGTCACGCGAGGAGCAGGCCAGGCCGTGCCGGCCAGTCCCCGGCAGGGGACCAAGGTGCGAGCAGTCCGTGACGCAGCGCTCTCTTGGGGCTGCATATGTTACCCTTCCACTAATAGAGCTCCTCTTCCTGCTGGCCAAGCCCCCACGCATAACAACCATTTCAACCATTTCTCTATTTATGTGTGTCATCCTTGCACAGGGGCCATGCTAATCTTTTGTACCGTTCCAATTTGAGTGGATGTCCCAAAGGACAGCAGCAATTTTTCTGTCCCAAGCATTCAAATGCCTCAAATTTCTGCATGTTTTGCTGTGTGTTGGTGTATCTGATATTTCTATTATCTAAGGGATACTGATGGTTTCTCCTCACACTCCCCTTCTTTCCTCCCATGCAATTTCTCCTCCTTTCAGCACTACCCGTCTTCACCCAAATACAACGTACGGTCATTATTGCTTTATTTACTATTTAGACTGAAAGATGCCCCAAATACAGCTATAATGACCGTCGGTTGTATTCGGGTCTTCGAAGACGGGTACTCTCCATTCCAGTGGGATGCTATCTAATATCAGTTCTTCCACACTCTCTGCCGGGCTATGGCAAACTTTCACCTTGGTTCCAAGGTACTCCACAGTTTTCCATCTCTGCCTTGGGGTTGTCCCACAAGCCTTCAACTTTCCAAATTCCCTTTTCTACCCATTTTCTCCATTGGCTGTTTTTCACTAAACAGGGAGTATGGCTGGCTGTATTTTTTATCTGTCAGCAAGAAGTTCCCGAACAGAGCAACGGTTGTCTGAGTACCTCTTGTTTTTTGTTTTTTTTTCGAAAGCCACCTTCTCTCATCGGGGGACAGCCATATATTTTCCTCTCACCTCACATATTTTTAACTGGCGTTCTGCCATGTCATGGAAAATATATTTCTTTCATTACCTACCTATCACTACTAAGGGTGTACAGGGGACCCCTGCAAGCATAGCTTTCTACCTCTTCGGTGAAGGGAGGTTACCTCTCTCGGTGGAGAGGGGTAATGGCATGTTTGCCCTACCTACCTACCACTACTCCTAAGGGTACACACGGGACTCCTGCAAGCATAGCTTTCTACCTCTCTTCGGTGAAGGGAGGAGAGGTAACGGCATGTTTGCCCCTTTGCCCTAGCATGTAGGGTGCAGGGTTGGGGCCCTCGGCAGGGGCCCAGCTAACACAAGGACCGAGCATTTCCAAGTAACTGTACCTCCCTTTTCATCTTTCCCCACCCCCATCGAGTAACAGTAGTGTGTAAAGCCAACACTCTCCCACCCCACTCACGCGCACACTCACGCCCGTTTTGCCTGAAGACCTTTTACTGATACCGACCTGGAGGATCCAGTTGACTATCTCATTTGGTTGGCACCAATAGTGCCACAGGCGGCCATGGGGATTGAACCCACGACCTCCTGAATGCCACTTGCGTGCCTATCCAATTGAGCTAGGCCGCTGGATAGTACCTCTTTTCTCCTTGATGTAGGTGCCACATTCTTGCAAGGGTGAGCATTCTCCCACGTTCCGCCGTCATTTGTGGCTGCAAGCAGAATCGACATCAACACCCGCATTTGCCCTTAACCGATATCCCCTCAGCTCCGGCCAGTGTCGCCCCTGGTCACAGCTCACCAACAGCCACTGGAGTGCCTTCCACCTTGGACAACTTCCCAGACCTCTCTACCAGGCCTCATGCCCCTGCATAATTCGGGTTACAAAGCATCACGGCCCAATCGCGGCACCGGCCAGCATCATTCTGGCATCAGCTATAGGCAAAGCCTATAGGTGGAAAATCTTCTACACACCATGGAGTGAACTTCAAACACCAGCGATGGCCTAGCATCCAGAATCCAAGTAATCATCCGAATACCCTGAACAAACCATTGCCCACCAACACAGTCCTGTTCCCTATCAGGCTCATCCAGACCTCACACCCCCACTCTGCTAGGTTACAAGGCAACCCGACTCGCCCCAGCTCTGGCCAGCGTTGTCCTGAGAGCAACCTCTGGATACCCTGTTGTATGCCCCCCCCAAACCCTCCCCAGATCTCTCTACCCATCAGCGGTTGCCTCACGCCCCCACCAGTCAGCAGGTTACAGAATCACGGCTCGGCACCGGCCAGAGTCATTCTGGCATCGGGCAACCGCATGTCTCTGGACTTGACAGCATCAGAACGCGATTGAATGAATTATAACAAATCCTCAGAATCTAGAAATATCCTTAAGAGAGAAGCAAAAACAGGAGCCCCAGCCCCGTCAGCATCTGCAAACCAAAGCCTCCCTTACATCCCTGACCAAGCCTCCCTTCCATCCCTCTTAACCCTACTCCGGCAAGACTCACCACAACGGAGCCAACCCCACTTCGCCAAACGGCACTCCTCCCAATCTGTACCACCCCAACACAGAAGGAAAAGCTGGGAAAAACACCCCTCACAGAACTCCAGATATGCAGATACGACCAAACTAGTACAACTGCAAATTGGAAACACAAATTGCGAAGTATTTATAGGACACTATCTTACCCACACAATAATTTTGAATCACTCAATTAGGGTTAACAGATCAGAAAACCAATTTGTATGTACAGAACAATGATCTCAATTAGAATCGGCACAAATTTTAGACAAAAATCCCAAAAGACCTGAATAATATATCCCAGTAACGGGAGTATTGACGGAGGTACTGATAATCAATCCAAGCTATATCAGACTTCGAAATTAAGAAAGAACAATTAGGCTTTTGTAGTTTTAGATATCAGACTCAAATTCTGATTTCCGATCATCTAACTCAAGAAAAAAATCACGAACATTAATCCGGAAGTTGATAAAGGGAAATCGTAGTAATAAGAAAGAAAAAAAAAAAAAGGGAAATCGGAATCACGAACGGGTCATGCCGCCCGGTAATCTAGCAGCTGGGGTTGAGGCCAGGTAGAGGCCTAGTATAGAGGTGAGAACGGTAGATGCAGAGGGTGGGGTGTTGATCTAACAACCCATGCGTAGCCTGCTTAGCGCCACAGCTTCTATCCCTCTTCTCTTTCTGGTTTGCTTTGGCCCCGAGACACCAGCCTTCCACCTCCCCTTTTCACCTCGCACACCCCAACTCCCCTCTATCCTACCTTCATTTTGAGGGCCTCCTTTCCCGTAAACCACTCTAGTCATGGCCATCCTGAACAGGTGATTGATCAGTACACGCGTTCGATTTGTCTCCCACCTGCAAGGCTGCAAGATCATTGGGGGGTTGTCACCTGCCCTGAACATGTCATTGCTCAAATTCAGCTCACGTGACCAAACAGTATCTGAATGAATACGACAAAAAAAAAAAAAAAAAAAAAAAAAGCGCAGTTGAACCGTACTGAAATCACGCACTTCGCTACTTTGTGACGTCAAAACCCTGCACGGATAACCCGATAGGAGGCTTGTTTTGACCTGAGTTACGGTCTTCTTACCAAACATAACGCACCCTGACAATAAACATATACAAGCCATTTTCAGGTTCGGTGTATTAGCTAAAACGAGGGTGCGTTCTGTTCGGGGGAAACCAGTAGCTACACTTGTGCTGTCAATCCCAACTCGAGTAACCCGATAAGAGGCCTCTTTTGCACCTGAGCTAGCGTCGTCCAGTGAACATAACGCACCCTTCAAATGAACGTACACAAGCCATCTTCCCGGTCCGGTACAGCCAAAATGAGAATGCGTTGTGTTCGGCGAAGGACAGTAGCAAGCCTGCAAAAGGACATGAGCTCCCGATTCCTATCTCCTCACAGGTAGGAAGCAGCACCTCCCAGCTAACTGAGTCATTAGCCTTCCTCCAGTCTCTGAGGACAGTTTTCACCGGAATAGAACGCCCAGTCATTATCGCTGTGTATCTAGACCAAAAGTTGGCCGAAATACAGCTATAATGACTGGGCGTTCTATTAGGGCGAAGACGGTAGACGAAGGAAAAATTCTCAGTATCTGAGTTATGTTGAGACTAGTGGTGCGTCGAGCACGGAAGCTGCGGACACCAGAGACCTGTTCAGAACACGGTAGCTACTTTCCCCGCCACCCACTGTCACAACATGGCCGGTACCGATGCAGCTCACGCATTCTTCAGATTCAATGTTCCCTTTCATAGCATCCATAACTCGATCCATAACTCGAAAACTGCTCTTGAAGTGAAGTCGCTTTTCGTCTTGGACCGAGCGCAAGTACGACGACTAATTAGTATGGACCACCACATTCCCTCACATCTAAAAATAGCTACTCAGCATATTTTTGCCATTGCAAGTACACACCCGACCAACATGCAATCAAATAACTCGCTCTTTACAAACTGGATGTAGGCCTTCCATATTCCATCAATCAGACGACAGTGAGCATGTTTTCTTTGCTCGTTTTTCACAACAACAAGACAACAGTCAGCATCTGAATTTCGGGACATAAAACTTCCAGTTTACGCATAATAGACGGATGCAGAAAACGCTACTTCACAGTTGCACAGACCTGTTTCCCGTCAACATCACCCATGAGCAACTTTGCTCCTCCACCGAACAGGATTTGCGAGTGCGGAAATGCTACTACCGCCTTCACCCGCATACAACGCCCGGTCATCATCGCCGTATCAAGACTGAAATTGTACGAAGTACGGCTATAATGACCGGGGATTCTATTCAGGTTAAGACGGCAGTCCAACCGCTTACTACGCCAGACTTCCCGCCAAACCATGGTCTACTACTACTTGCCGCCAAACAGGTTACGCTACCTACTGGCAAATTCAGTCTGGCACACAAACGACTCCCGACCCAAACAGCTATAATGACCGGGAGTTCTGTTCGCGAAAAGACGACAGTCCAACCGCCTACTGATAGAGACTTCCCGCCAAACCATGGCCTGCTACTCGAGACTTCCCGCCAAACCATGTCCTACTGCTAGAGACTTCCTGCCAAACATGTTAGGCTACCTACTCTTAAAACGTAGAGACTCCCGACCCAAGCAATCACATCTGAGCTTCAGCGGAACGTCTCGTCACTTCCCAAATGCAACGCTTGCAGAAAGGAGGATGGAACCCGTTTAAAGGCGGCAACTCCACACAAGACGCGAAGGTCATCGGTGGGGAGCATCGAGGAGGGTTCCAAGACGAGTTACAAGCGGACGATGACAGGCAGGGGAACACTAAGGGAATGCAATAGACGGCAGGCACGAAGGATCACAAGATGCTTTAGACAACCAAGGGAGACCGTTGAAGCAGAGGGAAAAACGGGGTCACAAAAAGCAATGTGTACAACGGAGATGAGGAGGGGAGGAGAAGTTTCACATCATTCATCAAGACTGCAGAATGCTCTACACTTGCGACAGAAATGTCGAGGGATTTGCAAAAACAGGGCTGGGAGAGGGAGGTGCAACCGCCACCAGAAATACTTCCACATGCAAAAGAGGGGGCCTGCAGCGAAGGGACAGCACAAAACAGAATTGCAAGATGCAATACGTACAACCGGCGGGGAGTATCAAAACCGGCCATGAGTGCCGTATGCTCAAGAGGGGAAATTGACACCAGGGATCAGCACGATGTGAGGGAAAAGAACGAAGGGTCGATCACGAACCCATTACCCGCATCAGACTGCCCTAAGCAAGGGGTAAGCAATCATCATCAACACGAACCCATTACCCGCATCAGACTGCCGTAAGCAAGGGGCAAGCAATCATCATCAACTCAAACCTCCAAATTGTTTCCCTCTGCCATAGAACTCTGCAACAAGGCAAAAAAAAAACATTCTCGTAATCTTTCGGTCGAAACACTAGCGATATAAAAACTCAACAGGCTACTCACCACTCCGCAAAAGAATAATTAAATCTCGAAGAAAAGAGCTGAGAACTCACGAGAATTCACTACCCACGCCATCGCCTATCGGGTACCCAGGTCTGTCACGTCAAGCTATACCATCCGATCATCATATTGACCGAACAAACACCGCACATAGCTCCAAGATGAAACGGAGAAATACCTCGACAGAGGATTTTCTTTGACCTAGCATCATCCGCAAGACACCGAAACGACCACTCCCTCAACCTCGAAAACTTTCTTAGAAACATTGACGTCACCTAAAACCGGAGAACTACACGTCCTACCCAACACTCCCGCGTCTGCACTGTCTTCAGCCAAACCGCCGGCGAAACCATCGTTAGCTGCTAAAGCTGCCTCTACGTGACTCAGAAAATCATACGTAATTGCGGCACCCAGATGACGGGATCCTTCTAACAGTAGAAACAGGTCAGAATCCAGCACCCATTCCACATGAAGAGGAGACAAGCTCCCAGCTCACTTTCCTCCCTTCTTCATGGCAGCCTTCGTCACCTTGCCTTCCTTCTCCTTCTTCTCCACGGCCTTGATCACGCCGACGGCCACCGTCTGCCTCATGTCACGCACGGCGAAACGACCCAGAGGGGGATACTGGGCGAAGGTCTCAACACACATCGGTTTCGTTGGAACCATCTTCACGAAACCAGCGTCTCCGTTCTTCAGGAACTTGGGCTCCTTCTCCAGCTCCTTGCCCGTTCGCCGATCGATCTTCACCACCAGCTCCGCAAACTTAACCGCGATGTGACACGTGTGGCAATCCAGCACCGGCGCATACCCGTTACCGATCTGCCCAGGGTGGTTCATGATGATCACCTGGGACGTGAAGCTCGCCGCCTCCTTCGCGGGGTCGTTCTT